TGGTCTGATGCTCAAAGAATATCACATCTCAGCTTCTAATTACTTTCTTTGCAACTGGATCCCATAACCTGTAGCCAAACTCTTCATGTCCATAACTAAAGAAGATACACTGTTTAGACTTGTCATCAAGTTTTGACCTTTCATCTCTTGGAACATGCACGAATACCCGACAACCGAATACTTTCAGGTAATAATACGAAACATCTTTCCCACTCCAAACTCTTTGCAAAACATCCCCCTTAAGGGGAACCGATGGAGAGATATTTATCAAGTCCACTACTGTTCTCATCGCCCAAAATGATTTGGGCAACTTCACATGAGAGAGCATACATCAAAGATCATTAATTGTCTGGTTCATTCTCTCCGCCACTCCATTTTGTTGTGGTGTTATTGGAACAGTCTTCTCAAGCTTGATACCATAATCCCTGCAATAAAGTTCAAACAGGCCTCTATATTCACCACCATTGTCAACTCAAACACATTTCAACTTCTTCCCGGTTTCTCTTTTCACGTTGACATGAAATTGTTTGAAAGCGGCAAGCACCTAATCTTTAGATTTCAAAGTAACAGCCCACACTTTTCTAGAACAATCATCAATAAATGTCACAAAGTACAATGCACCACTAACTGTTCTAGCATCTATGCAACAAACATCAGTGTGAACTAAATCAAGTACATTTGATTTCATAGGTTGAGAGGAACTATGAAATGAAAATCTATGTTGCTTACTTATAAGGCAATGAGTACATTCTTTTAGATTTCTCTCCTTCAATGGTAGGAGATTCATTGTCGCAAGAGTTTCAAGCTATTTCTCGCTGAGATGACCGAGTCTCATATGCCATAGATCAACTGATGAGTCCTCCACTACATTCACATCTTCCTTGACCAACTTAGCTTGCATAGTATAGAGAGTGCATGTCTTCTTACCCTTAGCCACTGTCATGAAACCCTTAGTCAATTTCCATTTGCCGTCACTAAAGGTATTGTAATAACCATCATCAGCTAAGGCACCTGTGGAGATCAAGTGAAGTCAAATAGCTGGAACATGTCTCACATTTTTCAGAAGCAAACTATATCCAACATCGGTCTCCAAATGAATGTCTCATATGCTGATAACCTTGAAAACACCACTGTTTACCATCCTAACATAATCAAAATCACCACTGCGATAGGAAGTAAAATAGTCACGCCGTGAGGTGACATGAAATGAAGCTTCGGAATCAACAATCCAGCTAGAGTCTTGGCATGTAAGATTCACACAACCATCATCACATATAAACATAATATCACCATCGGATGTAACTACCGCTGTAACCTGTTTCTCTTCTTTCTTTTGATCACCATTTTTGTCATGAGATTTATCCCTTTTTGGCAACCAACACTCTTTGGCATAATGTCCCATCTTGCCACAATTGTAGCACTTCACACTCCTCCTCGGCCTTGACTTCGATCTTTCTCTTGACTGGTCCCCATTATCATTACTCTGAAATTTTCTTGATTGAGTTCGCACCCTGTTTTCTATGACAAGAGCCTCCGATTTAGAAACATAATTCAAGCCTTTTCTCCTTGTTTCTTCATTGAATAGGCTTTCTTTGACCATGCTCATAGAAAACACATTGAAAGGAGACGAATTGTTTAATGCCACAACCAAGGTGTCCCAACTATCGGGAAGAGTACCAAGCAATAGACATGATTACAATTCATCACCTAAGTCAATCTCAAGATTTGTCAATTGATTTACAACATCTTGAAATTCACTCAAGTGTTCCGACATGCTACTTCCCTCCTTGTATCTCAAATTCACAAGTCTTTTAACTAGAAAAGCTTTATTTTGTGGGGTTCTCCTCTCATAGAGATCTTGTAATTTCTTCAACAAAGTGTCCGCTTTCGTTTCTTGAGCAACATGATGAAACACACTATCATCAATCCATTGTCGAATAAACCCAACCGTTTTCCGATTCATTCGCTCCCATTCTTTATCTTCCTTATCTCCTTAAGTCTCGTTACCCTCAACGGGATCAAACAAATCTTTGCAATATAACATGTTTTCCATCTGAGGCTTCCAAATGTTATAATTCGAGGCATTTAACTTGAACATGGTGCCCCTAGTTTCCTCTATTCAATACTAGAATCTCAACGCTAGCTCTGATACCGCTTTGTTGGAGAGAACCGGGGCAACAATTCATCAAGAACAAAGCCCAATCCAGGATCAATATCTCCCCCACAATTAAACCGATCAAAATCGACTTAATCCTAGCAACAACCAACAATATTCCAGCAATTCAACCTTGCAATAATAAGGAGACAAATGCAACGACGACACTAAGATTTAACGTGGAAACCCAATGAGAAAAAAACCACGGACCGCCCCAAAAACTTTCAATAATCACCAAGAATAGTAGGATACACAAAGTTCTTCTCTAGTCACACACTAGAGGTATAACGTCAACTGTACAACATCATTTCCATCACCATAAAGGTGAATTTACATAAATAGAGGAGAAAATCCTAATCGCAAATGGAGAGTTTGGAGGAGATTCTCAATGAAAGAAACCGATCAATTCGTAACCCTCGGTCTCATAAATAACATACTAAAATTTGAGCCAATTTTGACAACGTTTGGCCTTCGAAATCGGGATCGCAAAATTCAGCTCCCTTTTTCCTTCTTCTCCCCTGCACTCTCGGTGAAGCTCTCGGTGTACTCACTTTTCTTTTTCTCTCTCCTTCCCTTGGGCACACTTGCACGAAGCACTTTCTTTTTGTTTTCTTCTCTTTTTTTTGATCTTTTCTACTTTTGTTTCTTATGCTGGTTAGGCCCCACATAAGGTGGACCCAGTCAACAAATCTCCCCCACCACCTCATGTGGGAAGATCCCTCATGCCCGCTTCTACAAAGGTCAAGTTTCATCACGGGCAAGGCTTTGTTCATCATGTCGAATCCCTTGGGCACACTTTCACGAAGCACTCTCTTTTTGTTTTCTTCTTCTTCTTTTTTTGACCTTTTTTGACTTTTGTTTCCTTTCTTTTTGTTTTGTTTTATGTTGGCTGGGCCCCACATAAGGTGGACCCAGTCAACAAGAATCTGGGCTCTTTCAATTTATAGGGGAGACGGATCTTGAGATTGAGAATCACAGATCCTATAAAGTAACCAATCACACGACAGCTTCGTGTCTAGGGTCGCAATCGAAAATAATACCTAATAGCAACACAATTTCCATTTCGTAGACCAGCTCGTGAAAGATTTTGTTTTGGAATATGCTTCCAAACAAATGATACGTGCTCCTTTAGGCGATACTTTTCTCAAATCAAAATCAACAATCCAAAATTGAATTGGAATGCATGTTTGGTACACGCTTTGATACGGTGTGTAAAATTAAACTTTCCCTAAGTCATACATACCAATAAAAAAAAAGAAGAGAAAAATCCACATCAGAAGTTCTGCCATGGACTACTTCATAATGTGATGATAAACAAGACATTCACATAAGCATTTATTATCCTATCGTTTTTTGTCATAGTCTCGGTTTATGTTTATTTAAACGAAATACATAATTGTTAATCATCGAAATTCAATTAGAACGTTAGCGAGTATTGGTCGGAGAGACTAAATCCACCCATTTATTTACATGGACTAAAACCAACAATACAAGTATAGAGGGTCGTTGGGTATAATATGCAGAGTATCTAGGTAATTTACTCCAAATATTACTTACCTATAAAAAGGACTCAACACATATATGAAGCTTTTAATTCTTGACGTCATCCTCACTATATCCACGAGTTTGGTGGGCTAAGTTGACAAAGGAACACTTTTACGCCTTTTTTTTAAGGAAAAGGATAAAATGAGGGGAGACAGAAAAGGCGGGAAGAAATTTTTGGGCTCCCTCATGACATTTGCATTGGGTCATCCTTAGGCCCACAAATTCTCAATATTATTCATTTGCACTATATGACAAGACACGCAAATAAATAAAATTGAGTATGACATAAATCATGACATTATTAAAATCATGCCTCATGCAAATTGATTCGTTTAATCCATTTAGACACGAATTGACATGTTAACCGATTATTTGTTTCAACATAAATCAAGACAATTCGATATGGTATTAAATGGGTCTTGTTTGGATTAGACATGTCCGTATTATTTCCTTATTTCGACATGACACAAAATTGTTAGTCCCTACTCATTATTTGGTAGGTGAAGTTGTCATCTTCACATTGTATGCTAAATTGTATTTGCATTTTCTCCCTCCATTCTTTACTTTGTCAACGGGACACTTTCACTTTACTTTTCCTCTCCTTCTGTTTTCTTCCTTTTTCATATCCATCTTCACACTAGAAAAAAGGAATGGCTCAAATTCCTTTTAGACTAGACACCGCCTCTGGATATTAGAGTGGGTCGTCGGTCTCTTCATAAGTAGACAATGCATAAGTAACAATATCAGGAGTAATAGAATCTGCATAACCATACCTTTGTGGTTCTCTGATCTCTGCACTCTTTGCCTGTCAATATGGTATACAACATCTCTATGAGCTTGATCTCACGGCCAATATCATCACTACCTGTGTGTGTTACACATCGAGCCTCCACCTCAAGTTTCACATGTCTCTCGACACCATGATTAGTCTGTACTGCTTCAGTTTCCTTATTTTATGTAACATTGCCGATTCATAAAAGGTAACATCTCTCTGATGATGAATTCGATGATTCAAGATTTGGATAGGCACTAAAAAAAACAAGGATTTAGCTACGGAAAATTAGCGACGAAAAATTTTCCGTGGTTAATTTGCGACGGAATTTGCAATGAAAAATTTTCCGTGACTAATTTGCGATAAAAAATTTTCCATGGCTAATTAGCCACGTATTTAGCCACGGATCGCTAAATTTTTTTATATTAGCCACGGATTTAGCAATGGATCGCTAAATTTTTTTATCTGCGCCCTTGTAGCCACGGATTTAGTCACGGATTGCTAAATTTTTTTATATGCCGCCCTCACCCCGATTTTCTCTCTCTCTGTTCTCTCTCCCTCTCCCCACTCCCAAACCTCTCAATTCGCTCGCCCTGATCTCCAAAATCAAACCTCTAATTTGCTCGCGTCTCCGGCGAATTCGACGCCTCATCGTCGCAAATTCGCAGGTTCGATCCCGAATCCGGCGCTGCTTCTTGTGGTCTCCGGCGATGGCCACACGCGTCTAGGGTTTTCCCGGCTCCAAACCCGATCGATTCGGCGGCGCTTCCGACGATGGACGGCAACAATATTCCCCTCCCCCTTTTGGCATTGTTCTCGCCTCTCGCCGGTGGTTTCCACCCCCTCGGAGCTCGGAATCAGTGGTTTTCCGGTTCGTTATCTCGAGTTTCTTCTAGCGGTTCGCCTGAATTCGGCGAGGTGCGATCAAGATTCGCCATGGCTAGCTCCGGCGATGGAGAGAACGGCGAGAACCGCCGGACCGCGACGAGCCCGGCGATCCGTCGTCGATCGACGCGTCCTCGGTGGAGTGCGGGCCGAGCTCGAGGGTTTCGAGGGGGGCAGCCGAGGAGATTGGGATGGCGGAGAGGCTGACGGACGTCTTCGGCGGGGGAGGCAGCGGAGCGATCGGGAGGATAGGGTTCTGCAGGCGTTCGATAAGCAAGTGGTTGGGGCCTGCCGTGCGGATGAGAGATTGAAGCCGTTGTTGAAGTCGAGTGGGTCGAGTAGCGCGGCTAAGGATCGGTTGTTGGCTCACCTCAGTCGGGTACTTATTGTTTCGATCCGGATTAAATGTCTATCTGGCTCGTAGCGTTAGGGTTTTTTTGCTTATTTCATTGCCTGAGGATTAATTTCGAGATAATCGCGGTGTATGTAGTATGTATGGCTACATTTTGGTGGCCTGTGAGGGGTAAACGCTTTACCGTGCTACTGATGATAGGGAGTCTCTTTTCAATTTTAATTTTCGTACGGATGGTCCAGAGTCCCTTATGAGATATTGCATGAGTGGACCGTTGTTGAGATGGTTTGGGTAATTTGTTCATGTTGTTTGATTTTGGCTCACTGGATTTGCTTTTGTTTTTAATCATTAGCATTTCGAGCCTGCGGAAGTTGGAATACTGGCCAGATGCTTTTGCATGCCACTTGTTTCGATTCGAGTTGGCAAGATAGACAAGCAAAGGACTCTTCTTTGCCCCACATCAACAAGGTAAATGAAGTTCTGATCTGTATCGGTTTTGGGATTCTTGTATGTGAATTGTCTGTTGGCTTGTGAGCAGGTTAGTTTGGTTTCTGCTGATGAGTTGCCAATGTTTTCCGGTAGTATACATAGTTCAGCTGCAGACTAATTTTATCAGCGGTGCTCATTGGTTTACTATTAGAATTTTGTTTGTTATCAAGTGATTTTCCTTTACGTTTCTTAGTTGCTATATGGATGCTTATAATTTTTGGAAGTTTAACAAGCTTAGAATTGGCTTTATTAGGAGTTGTATTGTTTATGTTCTGATCTGTCACATTTAAGTGGCGCATTTTCTGTCTTGTATCTTGTTCCCTTCATCTGGAGTGTAGTTCTTGTAAGCTTTCATTTTGTAGTGCGAATGCGTACTATGTGTTTTGATTGAGCATTTGTTAGTTTTGTGTTTTGATAACGGTTCTTCGTACGATTGTTCTACAATGTTTAAGGAGGAGTATGCTTGCTCTTTTTCTGTTCATAGAGTTCCTTATCCTCATTATTTCAAATTTGCTAGTTTTTATTGCCATTTTGTGTGGTGGAGTTCTGTCTTTTGGTTCTTATTACAGCTAGCTATGTAATGCTAATTGTGGGCACCTCATTAGGAGATCATGTTGTCAGTCTTCTTTGCAGGCAGCTAGTTTAAAATATTCTAGATAAAAGTATTTGACACATATTGATATACTAGTAAGTTTGTGTAAGTAAACGTCAGATGCTGGACCGTAATAGTTTTTTTGTTTTCTGATGTAGTTCTCTTCTTGTTGGAATTTTTTTGGATACATATGGATATAGGTATTAGTGGCAGTAATATTGGCTGATGGACAGTAGTTTATCTTTACCCTACTATGCTTTCTTCATAATGGGAGATTTACCCTCTTGACAATTATGTCATAGCATCAGGGTCTTTGAATTGAGCAGTTCTTGAATGTCGTTTGTGAGATTATTTTCCAAGAAATGGTGGATATTACTTGAATAATATCAACTTTGCATACAGTCCATGATATCACTGGAAATAATCTTAAGTTGAGGATTTAATGTTGTAGCTTCTTGTTGGTAACCATGTTCATCCTTCCCAATAAATATGTCTTTTGACTTGTAGGTGAAGTGGGCATATCTTATTATGATCTCTGAATTAAGAGGGAGTTAAGGTAGTTTCATGCTCCTATATTATCTTGTCGACTGTTGCTTTTTGAATGTATATACGATCTGAATTCAACAAGTAGAAAATGTTAGTGACTATTTCTGTTCTTATGCTTGTCATTTAGGTAGGTCTCATGACACTGTAATTCTGATCTCATTAAGTTCTCTTTAGTCAATTGGTTGTTATTGTTTGCGTTTGACAATTAATAGTTATGTGAACTAACTTTTTATATTACCCTCCGAATTTGTTACATTTACATCTCCATTTCCTTGAACATAGATGGTACTTGCTGTTTATATCTATGTCACCGAATGGAACTGCTTGGTCATTCAACATATTGTTAGAATTTGTGGAGTTATTTCGGATGCTTGAAAGTCATGCAAAGGAAATACCTTTTGTAAGATGTCCTAGAATTAAATCATAGGTGCAGCCAGAATAAGCATGTACACACAAGGATGCGGTTAGAAGTTACATGATGGATTCTTTTAGGTCTAAAGTTACCTGAGAAATTTAGCCAAAGTCAAGTATTCAGATACGCAGCAAAAAAAAAAACTCGAGATAAATCCATTACATATGTGACAAGCGATAGATAATCCCATTTAGTATTTTTACAGGAGATTTGGTTATTAGGCGTTGATATCAAACTTGCACATTGCTATAGTAATCTTTCCTTCACCGGCTAGTTAATTTCTCAGCTGTCTCAGAGAAATAGACTGTTTTAATTGTTTCTTGGTTATATGCCTATTAATTTCTCAGCTAGAGAATAGAATTTTTTTTCTTAATTTTTTTCTCAAAAAAAATTCGATTTTTTTGTTTTTCGTGGCAAATTAGCAACGAATTTTGCCACAATTTTTTTTTATGGCAAATTAGCGACGAATACAGTTCGTGGCAAATTAGCCACGAATTTTTTTTAATAAAAAAAATAGAATATTTTTTTTGTTTTTTCGGGGCAAATTAGCGACGAATTTTGCAACGAATACAGTTCGTGGCAAATTAGCCACGAATTTTTTTTAATAAAAAATAGAATATTTTTTTTTGTTTTTTCGGGGCAAATTAGCGACGAATTTTGCAACGAATACAGTTCGTGGCAAATTAGCCACGAATTTTTTTATAAAAAAAATAGAATATTTTTTTTTTTATTTTTTCGGGGCAAATTAGCGACGAATTTTGTGATGAATACAGTTCGTGGTAAATTAGCCACGAATTTTTTCTATAAAAAAATAGAATATTTTTTTTTGTTTTTTCGGGGCAAATTAGCGACGAATTTTGCGACGAATGCAATTCGTGGCAAATTATCCACGAATTTTAAAAAAAAAATAGAATATTTTTTTTCTGGGTAAATTAGCGACGAATATAATTCGTGGCAAATTAGCCACGAATTTTTTTAATAAAAAAATATAATATTTTTTTTGTTTTTTCGGGGAAAATTAGCCACGAATTTTTTTATAAAAAATATATTTTTTTTAGGGGCAAATTAGCGACGAATTTTGCGACGAATACAGTTGGTGGCAAATTAGCCACGAATAATTAACGACGAATTTTGTCACGAATAATTAGCGACGAATTTTGTCACGAATAATTAGCGACGAATTTTGCCACGAATACAGTCCGTGGCAAACTAGCGACAAATTTTGCCACGATAATTAGCGACGAATTTTGCCATCAATTTTTTTTCGTCGCTAAATTTTGTGACGAAAATTGAAATTTTTCGTCGCTAAATTTTGCTACGCCGTATTAGCTACGAAATTTTTTTCGTCGCAAATTCATTTAGCGACGAATTTTGCCAAATTTTTTGTAGCTAAAACCTTATTTTTTTGTAGTGATCCCTAATCTCTTTATTATTGTCTTTGATAGCATATTGCACATAAGTGTATCTGATCATAGCATAATCCTTCTTCAGACTTTACCTTCTCATGATATTAATCTTGACCGTACTAATTCCGCTTTAAACTTGTCAAGATTGGTTACAATCACCTATTCACCCCCTCTAGGTGATAGAACTAGCCACCTCACTAATTGCACTAAAGCACTCTTTCATTCAAAATTCTTTGTACAACCACATCCAACTTAGCCAAAGCTTGGAATGAGGGACTTACCACCATTAAAGCCGAGTTTGAAGACAGAGTTGTGTCTAATTCCATATCATTCAATCCAATAAATCGTTTCGCCGAAAAGTGTTGACAAAGCACATTCCGAGGTATGGATTGATATGGAAATTGACAAATGATGTGAATCGTCATTTGTTGATTCTTGGATATGATTTACGAGAAAGTGATAAGGACATCATAAGTGCCATAACTTTCGTATGTCACTCACTCTAGGGCCATAACTTTCTTTTTTTTTTTATTACTTTAGTGCCAAATTGGTGAAAGATCGTTCACTTGGGTGCCTATTCCGGCGATTCATCCTACGTGACTTTTTAGATGAATTTTATAATGCAACGTGGCTCATTTTTTCAAATCCAAAGTGGAAAATGGACGAGGACGTGACAATTAAGTTGCTTGTTGACGGCCATGGTCTGCGCCTCCAGACTTGCCTTCCTCGAGAAAGTTGCTTGACGAGAAGCTCTGCATGACCAACTTCAGCTCCTAAAGGGCGAACTTATAGAGGTTTGATCCCGCGAGCGATATCGAGAGGTACTCTAAAAGTGTCGTTGAGTGACCTCTGGAATGAGTTTAGCTTTGTCACCTTCATCTTGGGCTAGTACTTCTTGGCTTCTTCTATGGTTTTGCAGCAGCTTGTGATCGTAGACCTCCATAAAATTTTCTTTATAACCATTTGGTGAAAAAGTTTCCGATTGAATTGACCCATGAACTTAAATCTCTCTCAACGGGGTAAGATACAAAAAGTCTTTTTCTCTCCCCATTACAAAAAAAAAATGTTTTTTGCGACGGATTTTGCGACAAAAAAATCGCAAAAATCCGTCGCAAATCATTTTTGCGACAGAAAAAATTCCGTCGCTACTAGGTCGTCGCAAATTTTTGCGACGGAAAAAAAATTCGTCGCAAAATTTGTCGCAAACTAGCCACGAACACTATCCGTCGCAAAGTTCGTCGCAAATATTTCGTCGCAAAATTCGTCGCAAAATTCGTCGCAAAATTTGTCTCAAATTTCGTCGCAAATTCCGTCGCAATTTTCGTCGCAAAATCCGTCGCAAATAATTCGTCGCAAATTAGCCACGAACTTTATTCGTCGCAAAATTCGTCGCGAAATTCGTCGCGAAATCCGTAGCAAAATCCGTCGCAAAATTCGTCGCAAAATGTATTGGACGGAAATTAGGCACGAACTTGATTCGTCGCTACTTATTCGTTGCAAATTTTACAGCATTTCGGCCATCAAATCTTGTCCATATCAATTGCTACGCATTAATGAACATCATGTAATACATTGAAAACAATCAAAGGACACGAGAAAACTATAGATTTCGCTTCAGAAACATAAAACGAACAAACCAGACACAATGACATATAATTGAAAAATGTAACTGAAGGAAAGATGCTAGTTCGCAAAAAATAATGATATATGCAAAGTTGCAAAGCCTGACACGATGATATTTGATATCAAATCTTATAATACATTCAAAACATTCATAGGAGGCGGGACAACCATAGATTCTGCTTAGAAAACGAAAAATCGACAAACTAGACACAAGATTGGGCAGCTGTGGTACTCGGCAGGACACCAAAAGTAGTCACTTTTGTTGACACCTGATGAAATGTAGATACATAAATAAAGATATTCAATCAGTCAAGAATATAAAAGAAGTGTTTATGCATGGATGTGGAACTAGGTATAAAAAAATAAGTAAGAGGGTTAACAAAAAAACGTTTCAGGACGAACATCAATGTTCTTACATATGAGTATGAGTCAACTTTGACATCCACTGTAGTTTTTTCACCATTGTAAACCGTATTTCTGTCACATAGGAAAAATTAGATCGTTGAACCTGTCAGTAAGAAAGTTGTGCACAAAAAGTAATTGTAAGGCAGGAACAAATTGGGTGAAACTGCACTTATGTCATATAAGATTGTGAAGCAAGCTTACCCCCGATTTTGGCAATTTTAACTAGAAATGACCGAGAAAATCATCAGCATCATCATCAATGTCAGCATCATTGTGTTGCTCATCATTGTGCTCATCACCTATTGGATTGGCAGGGGGTACAGGAGGAACCTCACTGCGATTGATGTTGAGGTGTCGCATAACGATTTGCATTTGCTGTTTCAAGTCATTTATTTCTTCGTCCCTCTCTACAATTATATTTTTCAGTTGGTTCACTTCTTGGGTCAATTGCTCGTCATGTCGTGTCCTCCTTCGACCAGTCGCATTGGATGATGAAGTTCTAGCTTGATTCGGCATGAACATCCTTGACAAGGATCCCATCCCAAATATTTTTCCTTTTTTCACCCCACCCATTGCCTCCACACATAATGGCATACTGTCAACTGCTGGCTCAGACGCACTTGCAGAACCATCACTACCACTAGCATTGCCCATTAAAAGTTCATCATATTTTTCCTACATTAACAATATAGATGAAAATAAAATAACTTCATATATATATCTACCATAAATATTAAAAGCATTCACGGTTTTCATTCTAGTTTCCATAAAGCCCAAAGTATAACCTTACATACCTTAATAGCTTTTGCTCGATCGCCAATCCACGTCTTATCTTTCTTTTGAAATGTGCGTTCAAATGTAGCTGCAAATGTCGGTTCCGTCCCCAATTCTTGTGCCTACAA